TTGGAATAGGTATTAAAATAGCTGATTAATGATATAGCTGAAGCTGAATCAAAGAATTCTGAGAAATTAAGATCTCTAGAGTATTAAGAAACAATGAGAAACAATGAGAAACAATGAGAAACAATGAAATAAACGAGAGAATTGATTGCGGATGTTTTTAAAGCAAAAAGTACATTAGAAATCGTGTAGAAGTTATAACTCTTCAGTTCTAACTATTCAGTTCTATCCATTGATTTCTATCTATTCAGTTCTATCTATTCAGTTCTACCTATCCAGTTCTATCTATTCATTTCTATCTATTCAGCTATTCAGCTAGCTATCTATAGCTAGCTAATTGTAGAATTTCGTAATGATATTGATGCTTGAATCTTCTCTCTTTGAGATGCTTTGATTGAATCAAGGCTTTGATTATTGAATCAAAGCAAATATTATGAGTGATCTCGGTCCTTTTCCATCAACAATAGTCAACAATGGGGGGAATCACGTAAGAGTTTGAGAGGAAAGCTCAATGCAAATTTGATACTAATGTCCGAATGGGTAAACAATGCGATTTTGTGATGCAAATTTTCCGAGTACAATTCCAAATTGAATCCAAATTGAATGAAAGGGTTTCTTCGCAATTCTAGAAAGTCTAGAAAGTCTAGAAAGTCTAGAAAGTCTAGAAGGTCTACATAGAAGGTCTAGAAAGGTAATTCTAGTTTCTAGGGTTTATTGGAACTCATTAGGTTAGGCTAGGCTAGGCTAGGCTAAGCTAGGCGAAGCTAGGCTAAGCTAGGCTTCACATTCCTCCGTTTTACTCTTTCCCAGCTCCCGTAATCTGTCTGAGTTCTTATCTAGATCCAGAATAGTGAGCTGTTCAAACCTAGCTCACTATTCTGGATCTAGATATCTGGATAACTGGATAACAGTAATCTAACAGTAATCTAACAGTAATCTGGATAACAGGGGATCTTAAAGTGAGTAATCTAGCGATTCTAGAGTGAGTAAAGGGATTTTTACAGAGTGAGTAATCCATCGAATTAAGATCCGCGCTGTTGGAGGAGATGAGAGGAGACGAAATCGGCCACATTCTCCCACCATTGTTGCACAATGCGAGCCGTTTGCGAGCCCAATGCGAGCCCAATGCGCGCTCCATCCGTGTCCATTCAAAATCTTGTATGCTAAATATCTCGCGTTTCCGAAGTTCTCGACAAAAACCAAGTGCAGTTTCAGAATCTCCATAGTCGAATCTCCATAGTCGAATCTCCATAGTCGAATCTCCATAGTCGAATCTCCGTAGTCGTATGGAAGCTAAGAAGAGACGAAATGTGATCTTGGAGTTGATGCAGATCAAAAAGCTGATGAAGATCGTTCGGACGACTGGATATCCTAAAACAAAGAATCCTCTGAAGAAAGTCTGGGCCAAAGTCTCAGTACAACAATGTGCGACCATTAGAGCTTTCCCAAGCGCATAAAGAAGTGTATTGAAGCCGAGGGAAGCAACTTTGAGCATTTGTTGCTATGTTTATTGCTATTTTTATTGCTATGTTTTAAAAGATAAATTTTGATAACTATATTTAAAAAACAAAAGATTTTTCTATTCATTAGCTTAATTTAAAATTAGCTTAATTTAAAAAGTATGGGGACTTTTGGGATACTTTGTATAAAGATCGAGTCGGTTTCATAGGCCGTAAGTTCATGAAAGGGCAAAAGGCTGTATGCCTTTCGCTAGTGAGTCTTTTTCCAATGTTTGCAGTAGTGAGTCAGATTTATAGATTTTGTAGCTTTTAATCTTTAGTTTCTCGTGAAAAATCTTTCTGACAAAAGTCGCTAAACGTGGGGTGATTTGTCTCATTGATCTTTTGGTGTTGCGCTTGATAGCTTGGCGCTTGATAGCTTGGCGCTTGATAGCTTGGCGCTTGATAGCTTGGCGCTTGATAGCTTGGCGCTTGATAGCTTGGCGCTTGATAGCTTGGCGCTTGATAGCTTGGCGCTTGATAGCTTGGCGCTTGATAGCTTGGCGCTTGATAGCTTGGCGCTTGATAGCTTGGCGCTTGATAGCTTGGCGCTTGATAGCTTGGCGCTTGATAGCTTGGCGCTTGATAGCTTGGCGCTTGATAGCTTGGCGCTTGATAGCTTGGCGCTTGATAGCTTGATAGCTTGGCGCTGGGCTTGATAGCTTGGCGGTGGGCTTGATAGCTTGGCGGTGGGCTTGATAGCTTGGCGCTGGGCTTGATAGCTTGGCGCTGGGCTTGGTAGCTTGGCGCTCGATGGCTTGGCGCTTGGTAGCTTGGGCAATGCTGATCTTTATTCGAAGCAATTAATGAGAGTTAACGAGTCTTTGAAGAAATTGGGGCTCAAACCGGAGTCAGATTTTGACACGACAACGCAAAACCTCACACTGTTTGGGGGTTTTATGGAAGAAGAATTGCGAAATAGGAAAATCAACAATTTGCATGATTTACGTCGAGAATTGATCAAAATCTGGAACCACTTAGATGCAAATTATCTCCGCCGCACCGTCGATTACTGAAGGAGTTCAGATACCGTCGATTCTGTAAAGAAGCTAATTAAAGTATCAAAGCGCCTGTATGCTTTGATAGCCTGTATCAAAGCGGATGGAGGTTATTACTTCCAAAATGTCTTTTAATTATTAAATGCTTTTGTTACAACTATTATATAAATAAATATTTTTACATGTTCTTTGAAAGAAAATGAAATTATGGCGTTTTCTTTGGCGCACCGGTTCCCTTTCTATCTAAATTTGGTTCCTTATCTCTCTAAATCTTTTCTTTAAATTTCAGCCAGCCTGTAGAACAAGAACAAGAACAAGAACAAGAACAAGAACAAGAACAAGAACAAGAACAAGAACAAGAACAAGAACAAGAACAAGAACAAGAACAAGAACAAGAACAAGAACAAGAACAAGAACAAGAACAAGAACAAGAACAAGAACAAGAACAAGAACAAGAACAAGAACAAGAACAAGAACAAGACCGCAACCTCAATGCAACCTTTTCCAAATCGATGCCAAAACCCAGACAAAAGGTGTTTTAAAGATCTTTACTTTGTGTGCTTTGACAATCTTTACTTTGACAATATTTCTGTCTTAACAAAGATCTCTCAAATCTTTTCTTGTCTCTCTTTCTGTTAGAAATTTCTCATTTCTCGTTTCTCCGATTGAGAAAAACCGCAATTTTCGCAATTTTCGATTCTTTTCGATTCAAAATCGATTTCAAATCGATTTCTTTTAAAATTTGACGATTGTTTAATCAAAAAACAGATATTATCCTTTTATCTAGCTTTATTTGTTCATTTTCTTCTTTAAAAGCTTTATTTTAAAAGCAAAAGCTTTATTTTAGATGCCATAGCTTTATTTTAGATGCTACAGCTTTATTTTAGATGCCAGAGCTTTATTTTAGATGCTACAGCTTTATTTTAGATGCCATAGCTTTATTTTAGATGCCAGAGCTTTATTTTAAAAGCTATAGCTTTATTTTCGTCTTTAAAAGCTTTATTTTATTAGTGTTATTTTATTTTCTCATTTTATTCGTTTAATATAGGTTTAATTGGATTTATCATTGGATTTATTGAGGATTAGTTGTCCCTTTTTACAAAAACTTTTCAAAAAAAAGATTAAACAACTGTCATAAACCATAGAAAAGAGGCAAATCCACTCATTTTCTCTATTTTTCGCCAAATTTCGCCAAATTTCGCCAATCTCTCTTCTTTTCTCATACTTTCTGCAAATACAACATAAATTTCAAATTTTAGACTATTTTTGTTGGGTTTTTTGGCTTTAAAATTGTTTTCTTTAATGTTTTCTTTAAATTCTTTAATGTTATCTTTACAAATCTTTCTTGTTATCTTTATAAATTTATATATTTACCATTTAGCGTTTAGCATTTAGTTTAACGGCCAATTTAGCATTTAGAATTGGATTTAGGTTGTATTTAGATTGTATTTTGATCATTACTTTTCAAGTTTAGCGTTTATTTTAGCATTTTGATTTGGATTTAGATTATATTTAAATCATTATCTTTCAAGTTTAGCGTTTATTTTAGCCTTTAGATTAGATTTAGATCATTACCTTTCAAGTTTAATGTTTATTTTAGCATTTAGATTGTATTTAGATCATTACCTTTCAAGTTTAGCGTTTATTTTAGCATTTAGATTGTATTTAGATCATTACCTTTCAAGTTTAGCGTTTATTTTAGCATTTAGATTGTATTTAGATCATTACCTTTCAAGTTTAATGTTTATTTTAGCCTTTAGATTAGATTTAGATCATTGCCTTTCAAGTTTAATGTTTATTTTAGCATTTAGATTAGATTTAGATCATTATCTTTCAAGTTTAGCGTTTATTTTAGCATTTAGATTAGATTTAAATCATTATCTTTCAAGTTTAATGTTTATTTTAGCCTTTAGATTAGATTTAGATCATTACCTTTCAAGTTTAATGTTTATTTTAGCCTTTAGATTAGATTTAGATCATTACCTTTCAAGTTTAATGTTTATTTTAGCCTTTAGATTAGATTTAGATCATTACCTTTCAAGTTTAGCGTTTATTTTAGCATTTAGATTAGATTTAGATCATTATCTTTCAAGTTTAATGTTTATTTTAGCCTTTAGATTAGATTTAGATCATTATCTTTCAAGTTTAGCGTTTATTTTAGCATTTAGATTTGTGTTTAGATCATTACCTTTCAAGTTTAATGTTTATTTTAGCCTCTAGATTGTATTTAGATCATTATTTCTCAAGTCTAACGGGCATTTTAGCATTTAGATCATTATCTTTCAAGTTTAATGTTTATTTTAACATTTAGAATTGTATTTTGATTATTATCTTTCAAGTTTAACGGCCAATTTAGCATTTAGAATTGGATTTAGATCATTATCTATCAAGTTTAATGTTTATTCTAACATTTAGATTGTATTTAAATCATTATCTTTCAGGTTTACCTTCAAAAATGTGCGATTCATTTGATTTTCAAGGAAAAAACTATGTTTTGAATGAAGAAATGATTCAGGTAAAGCTTTCTTTAAAGGGAATATTTTAAAGGAAAGCTTTTCCGTATTCTCTCTAATAGTAGTGATGAGTTGATGCTTAGGCACTCTAATAGCATTCCATTGATGAGTTGATGACTAGGCAAATTTTGAGGCACTTTAAAAGATAGCCAGGATTATTGTAGCTTATTTCTGAAGTCTGAAGTCTAGTACAAGGCTAATTAAGAAGCTAACAAGGAGTTAACAAGAGCTAAGGAGCTAAGGAACTAAGGAGCTAAGGAGCTAACTAAGCAGCTAATTAAGCAGCTAGCTAAGGAGCTAACTAAGCAGCTAACTAAGGAGCTAAGGAGCTAACTAAGCAGCTAAGCAGCTAACTAAGGAGCTAAGGAGCTAACTAAGCAGCTAATTAAGCAGCTAACTAAACAGCTAACTAAGCAGCTAACTAAACAGCTAACTAAGGAGCTAAGGATCTAACAAGGAGCTAACTAAGTACCTCTAATAGTAGTGCACCCAATCAAGCCGAGTTGATGACGATTTTATGGTTTCCAAGCTTTCCCAGAAACTCAACACTCAAATCCCCCACTAGATCAGATCGTCAGCTACATTTTCCGACCCCACATCGATAGGTTCTCATAAGCGCTTCTCGAGATTTCAAGGAATTTAGACGACGCTCATGGTGCACTACTATTAGAGAAAATACAATATTTTACACTTTTACTAAGTGCGGAGATTTGTAGAGCACAAAAATTGGCACGACAAACTACAAGCATAAACTTTAAAAGCTTCTAACTTGCTTTAAATCTATTGGATCATGATGATCTATAGCTCAAAAGATAGAGAATTTCAAGAGCTTTTGAATGAACTAAAAGTATACTGGAAAATATTAATGCTAAAGGAAGGTACAGTGGGTTGTAGCCAACTTTGTAGTTTGTAGTTTGTAGCCAGCGCGTAGACTATCAAGTCTGATCTATCAATTCTGATCTATCAAGTCTATGATCGAGCAAATAGACTGATCTATCCAATAGTTATTAAACTTTTTTTAGTACAAAGAAGCCTTTACCCATTGCCGAGAAGCTTTAGAGGAAACGGCTTTGATTTTTGCTGAATCCGGCTACAATGTTGAGATGAGTGGATGGAAAGTGAGTGCATTTTCCGGTTTTTTTTCTTTTTCTTTCTGATAAAACATCGACTGCTAATCGTTTCAGCGATTTTGAAAACCCGTGGGCACAAATTTATCAGCAAATCTTTTCAAATTAAGACCATTTAAAAGAGAAATTCATTCAAAATCCATTCATCCATTGTATCCATTGTAAATCCACGTGTAAATGATTGAAATCTGATGAATATTCGCTGAAATGGTTGTTCTGGATGTCACCGAGTGCATTCGTGTACAATTTACAGTGACTTGGTTTAGTTTTTTTGGTACTTGGATTTTTCTTGGGTAATTTATCGGAAAGCTGATGTACTTTGATTCATTGCTTAACGTTAGTTACCATTGCTTCATTGCTCAACATTTAATTATGCTCAACATTAGCTTTAGCATTTGATGGATTCATTTGATGGATTCATTTTTCCTTATCTTTTTAGCCTGATCACTCAAATGAGACTACGAAAATGTACTACAATGATCGAAAGAATGGACGATATTTTGCTGGAAAGGTTTCCTTTTTAATATCTCAAAAAATAGATGATATCTGATATTTGATATCTATTATATTAAATATATTATAAATATCATATATTAGAGATATCTAGATTAACCAAAGCCAACCAAAGCTAACCAAAGCCAACCAAAGCTAACCAAAGCTAACCAAAGCCAACCAAAGCTAACCAAAGCCAACCAAAGCTACCCAAAGCTACCCAAAGCTAACCAAAGCTACCCAAAGCCAACCAAAGCTAACCAAAGCTACCCAAAGCTAACCAAAGCTAACCAAATCTAACTTTAGACTTCTCTAAATCTATCAGCCGAGAAAGCGCTTCATGCAATCTTTTTGAATGTTGAAGACGCTGTAAAGGTGAGAAAGGCTATAGTAATTGAAATTAATAATTGAAATTGACTTTCACGTCTTGGGGAACAGAGGGAATCTTTCCATAATCTCGCCATCACAGAAGCTGGAGCCTAAGCCTAAAACGTTCAATTATTGGGTTGATGCATAATTATCCGGACTTCTTTTATAAATGATTTTATTTAACAAAAAATAACATAAATAGTTAGAAAAATATGTTTAATTGATTATTCTGGAGCATATTCACCGCCTACATCAATAACTGATTGCCATTTGCTTGGAAGACGATCGATTCCACGAGCGAAGAATAAACGATCTTTGGAGGCAATCCACGCTTTAACATCGTCTATCAAGTCATCCAAATCGTTGTAGATCTTATTTGTTTGCCAATTTTTGAGCGATCGATTGACGTGGTAGTCCGTTGGGGCTTCTCCAGTTCTTTGAGATCGCGAAACGACTCTGCGGCAGACCATCCCTTTTCGAAGTGGTAGAGCATGATATGGCGAAGATGGATATGATTGTCGACACGCATTTTGTTCACTAAAGAATAACGAATATTTAAAAAAAAGAAATAGACAAAAAGCTTTCAAAACAAAAAAGATACAAGCACGCAAAAAGAAGTCCGGATAATTATGCATCAACCCAATATATTCCAAATATAAAAAAAACAAAAAAAAACCAGAAATGAAGTTTAAATCAACGAGTTCTTGTCCTTGAACGGGACAATTATGGCAAACAAACCCTACAGTTTAACGGTTTATTCTGTCTAGGTGATTGTTCTAGAAATAGCTAGAGCTGAACTAGACTTCTGGCTTGGTCAAATGACACTTCTGTAGACTTTAAGACGCTCTAAGACGATCTAAGACACTCTAAGACGCTCTAAGACATTCTAAGACGCTCTAAGACACTCTAAGTCGCTCTAAGACACTCTAAGACACTCTAAGACACTCTAAGACGCTTTGTAGACGAAATCCAGCAATTCCCTTAAATTTAGTGGAACGATAGCTACAAATTCTCGAAAAAGCATGCCCAACTGTCGATTGAGTGCGATATTGCACATGTAAGTCTGCTAATTTTCATATTTAAATCATTATTTCAGTACGCTACGAATAAAAAGTTGATTGTTGACGGTCGAGAGTTTATTTGTGCGCGAGCTGTTTACAGGGATCCCACGGGTAGGCTAACTGGCTAGACTTTAAGACTAAAACTAAACCTTCGAGGCTAACTGGCTAGACTTTAAGACTAAAACTAAACCTTGAGTTCCTTTATATCTTTTCTGGTTATTTGTGTCTTCTGTCTCTTTTCTAGCTACTTTCTAGCTACTAAAAAGTTTTCTGGCTTTCTAGCTACTATTCTACAAGAGTTTTGACTAAAGAATCGAATCGATAGCTAATTCCAGGTCAAATTCTTTTCGCTGCCAAGTCAACTCCATTGAAAGAGATCAAAGAGGGAGGGCACGGGACACGGTAAGGGATTCATTGCTTGTGAGCTGTGGAATTGTTGGATTGGTCTAGCTTGGTTTAGTCTGGCTTGGCTTTGTCTAGCCTTTGTCTAGCTTGGCTTGGTCTAGTTTGATTTAGTCTAGCTGGGCTTGGTCTAGCTGGGCTTGGTCTAGTTTGATTTAGTCTAGCTTGGCTTGGTCTAGCTTGACTTGGTCTAGTTTGGCTTTGTCTAGTTTGGCTTGGTCTAGCTTGGCTTGGTCTGGCTTGGCTTGGTCTAGCTTGGTTTAGAGGTAGAGCCGGTCTAGCTGATGCTGTGTTGTCTGGCTGTGGTTTGAATGTTATCGAATTCTAGTGCTCATCTGTACATCTCAGCTGCTCGTATCACTCCTCATCCAAGCGATTCGTCTAAATCTTTCTACGAATACGTGATTTGCGTTGATATGAAGGGAATGATGTTCAAGAGTGTTCTCAATCCGGTAGTCTATCGTAGTCTATCGTAATCTACCGTAGTCTACCGTAATCTACCGTAGTCTACCGTAATCTACCGTAGTCTACCGTAATCGAGCTAGACAACACAAATCCATTCAGGTTCTCGGTCGATTACTTCTCGAGGACGTGGAAAACGTTCGTAAATACTGTGATCAATTGAGCAAACAATAAATACGATATTTAATAGAATATTCAATAAATTGTTTCATTTCCGGGCGATTTTCAGGCACAAACCCTTGCAGAACCGGTTCTAGTATCATAAAACCGCACCAAAACGAGTTTAAGCACTTTAAAATCGTTCTAGTATCATAAAATGAGAAACGAATAGCTGTAGATGGGGATCTGGATGGCACAGGGGAGTTTGAAGAAAGTGAAATGGTTGTGAGCTCAACTCCTGCTCACTTCAGTGACTCATGACCCTGCTCACTTCAGTTCTAGTCTAAAATAGATTGAGAATGACTAAAATAGACTGAGAATGGCCAGATAGCCGTGTATTCTTGTAGATAGTTCCAGATTCACTTCTTCTAGAAGCCAATAGCCTTTTTAGATCCCAGTTTCAAGGCTGGACCTTCTGCATGATCAGTACTGGACCCAGGCTAGACCCCGGATCAGTACTGGCATTTATGTCGGGATCCTAGGGGGTCACAGGTTGGGTCCAGGGTTCTAGAAGGTCTAGATTGATTCTAGAAGGTCTGAATCGATTCTAGAAGGTCTAGATCTATTCTAGAAGGTCTAGATCGATTCTAGAAGGTCTAGATCTATTCTAGAAGGTCTAGATCGATCCTAGAATGTCTAGATTGATTCTAGAAGATCTAGATCGATTCTAGAAGGTCTAGATCGATTCTAGAAGGTCTAGATCGATTCTAGAACGTCCCTAGAATCTTCTAACTTTCCTTTCCTTCTTTCTTTTCCTTCCTTCCTTCCTTCCTTCCTTCCTTCCTTCCTTCCTTCCCTTCCTGGATCCAGAAATTCACCTCTAGACTAGACTGAGTAAAGTATTGCGCAACCGGGAACCCTATCCTTTCCTCTAGTATCCCTAAACCCTTGAGTACAATAGGGATAACCGTTTTATAGTATTTCTGTTTCCTTTCAGCTATCGGATTACCCGAAATTTGTCCTTGTTTACAGCCAATCGTGAAGGGAGAACTTTAATTGGCATTCATGCTTGGTTATCATTCAAAAAATTTGTTAAACCTTTATGCTCCAGGGTTTATTGTAAATCCCCATTGGCAATTGAGTGAGAGAAAAGTGAGATTCGGAAGTTTTCTTTATGAAAAAGAGAGCTGACATATCGAATCTTTATTCAATAAAAGTCTTTATTCAATAAAATTCAATAAAAGATGATTTAAAAAGAATCTTAATCTATCTAGCAATGGAAAGGCTACAATGGAAAGGCTGCAATGGAAAGACTGTAATGGAAAGGCTGCAATGGAAAGGCTGCAATGGAAAGGCTGCAATGGAAGACTGCAATGGAAAGGCTGCAATGGAAAGGCTGCAATGGAGAGACTCCTCTGTTTTTTGTTTCACAAGAAATCAAACAAAATCCAATCAATTATATCAATTATTTGAATATTCTTAAGCAAGAAATACATTTATTAGCTTTATTTTATTTTATTAGCTAAAAAGCATTCTAGAAAGCTTTAGAGAAAGATTTATCGCTTCTTTTCGCATCCACCGCTCTTTCCGCATCCACACAAAGCTCGCATCGTTCAAGATTTGTGTAAACAGAATTTCCCGGATTTTAACCAGTGATCACTATCAAATCAAGCCCAGATCTCAATCCTCTTTTGGAGTGTATTGGAAGCAAAAGTGGATTGGAAGCATGCTTAAAACCCCATCTAACAGTTGTTTCTTTGAAGAAAGCTCTTTGGAGCTTTAGAGAGCTTTAGAGAGCTTTAGAGAGCTTTGGAGAGCTTTAGAGAGCTTTAGAGAGCTTTGAGAGCTTTAGAGAGCTTTGGAGAGCTTTGGAGAGCTTTAGAGAGCTTTAGAGAGCTTTGGAAAGCTTTAGAGAGCTTTAAAGAGCTTTGGAGAGCTTTAGAAGGCTTTAGAGAGCTTTAGAAAGACTTTGGAGAGCTTTAGAAAGCTTTAGAGAGCTTTAGAAAGCTTTAGAAAGCTTTAGAGAGCTTTAGAGAGCTTTGGAGAGCTTTAGAGAGCTTTAGAGAGCTTTGGAAAGACTTTGGAGAGCTTTAGAAAGCTTTAGAGAGCTTTAGAAAGCTTTAGAGAGCTTTAGAAGGCTTGCTTTGGCTTTGGACCTAAGCCTTACCTTCTCGCCACAGTGGACGCGTTCCCAAAATGGCCTCCAGACTCTATTTTACTATTTTAGTGTCATTTTAATTCCAAGGTTATTCTCGTTTTAAATCCTCAAGCTCTTTTGTTTCCTTAATCCTAGAAAACCCTTTAATATGTATATATACACATATTAGATGTATCTGACTAATATATTCGAAGTGAGTGCCTAGTTTGCTTGTAAATCCCCATTGGCATCCATGGATCCGGGAGAGTTGAAAGAAGCAAAAGAAAAAAGCCGCTAGAGTCTCTTTTCCTCTCTCGAGTATCCCTTGTATAATGCCAGATTCGTTTTTCTAGTGATAGTCTAGTGATAGATCAAAGCTAATAGATAACAGATATCACTTTGGGATCATTCACGGCAATTTCTTTATCTTTCGGCCATCACAATCCATTCAGCGATCATTTTTCGCACTCACTCTTCATATTCCAAGTTAAGCTGGATAATGATTTTGGTATTAGATGAACATTACTGTAACCCATTTTTCTCTTTTAGATTGTTTTGTCTAGAAGACTAGGCTAGAAGACTAGGCTAGATGACTAGGCTAGAAGAATAGGCTAGAAGACTAGGCTAGAAGAATAGGCTAGAAGACTAGGCTAGAAGACTAGGCTAGATGACTAGGCTAGAATGCTTGTCTAGAAGACTAGGCTAGAAGTCTAGGCTTCAAGTCTAGTCTAGAAGGCTTGTCTAGAAGTCTTGTCTTCAAGTTCTAGTCTAGAAGCCTAGTCTTCAAGTCTTAGACACTTCTCTTTCAAAGGATATTTTATCTGCCAGCATTACTGTAACTTTTTGCCAACCAATCTAATGCCTATAAAGCCTAAAAGACTATCTAATGCCAATCTATCTTTGTACAGTCTAACTCTTTGCTAACAATTGCGTAATCAAGCATTGTTTTGATCTTTTGGCTAAGATTGATTAGATCCACTAATCCTCTTAAGCTCAACAAATTGACGGCTATCCTTTCTATTGTTGTTCTAGTTCTGTTCTAGTTCTAGTTCTTGTTCTTGTTCTAGTTCTGTTCTTGTTCTAGTTCTTGTTCTTGTTCTTGTTCTAGTTCTAGTTCTAGTTCTAGTTCTTGTAACAATTGCTGTTTACACCAAAGCACAAAGCCGTAAGCTTTGGAGATTGCTCAAGCTTTGGATTGCTCAAAATCAAGCTCAAGTGTTTCTAAAGCTAAAGACTAAAGCTACAGCCAGTGCCCTTGTGCTTCTAGTTGTCAAAAACGATTACTATATCCATTCTAGAACCTTTAAACCTCTAGAACCCCCTAGTTGCATCCTTCTTTAAACCTTTAAATAGATAGTCTATCTTTAGGTAGTCTTTCCTAGATAGCCTTTCCTAGATAGTCTTTCTTTAGATCGATTTAGAGTCTGGGTACCGTATCTTGACCCTATTTGGAATGGCATCGAAAGAAGAGAGGAAATCTGGTGCTCAGTTTACACCCCATCCCCCCATTTAGAGTAGAGTGAAGGACCCCAGCCCTGCCCTGTTCCAATCCCTCCACTTGATCCCACCTTTCAATCGAATCCTCTCTTCACTTGCCAAAGTTTTGCCTTTCCATCCCCACTTCAATAGGATTACTCTCTCTTGAGCTCTTCGTAAACATCCAACATCAAATTTTTGATTTCTTTTTTCTTTTGGAAGCTGTTGTGAACTCCAGATCGAACAAATCTCTAATGAACTCGAGATTTTGCGAGCTGGAGTTCATAAGAGTTCTCAGGAGATCAGGAGTTCTCAATCAAAACCATTGACTGACTCCTTTGACTCCTTTGAATCATCTCTTCTTTTTAATTACTTCATTAATCATCGTTTTACTTTCAGATTTACTTTCAGAGCGTTTTACTTTCAGATTTACTTTCAGTTTACTTTCAGTTTACTTTCAGTTTACTTTCAGATTTACTTTCAGAGCCATTCAACGATGACAATGTCAAAGTACGATGAGGGTAAACGGAAACGCCGACGCGAGGGAGCGAATGAACGAGAGAAAACGAGGAATATCGAGTTGAATAAAGCGTACGACTCGTTGATCAAGTTCGTGAATAGCTTGATAAAGTATTTATAAGCATTCATTTATAAATCAATTAAACAGCCATTAAGTTTATTGAGTTTACTTGAGTTTACTTGAGTTGATTTGTAGCTTGATTAAAGCCTAGAAACTGTAAATTTTTTTATCTCTAGCATATCTCTAGCATTTTTGAGTCACTCTATTGACTATCTTTGAGTCACTTTTATTCTAAAATCAAAACAAGATATTCAATCGTTTAGCTGAATAGATCGGGCTTCTTAAGCGAATAACGAATTTTCAAAATAGAAACTTTTCAGTCAATTTTTAGTGTTTTTAATTCTTAAACGCATCCGTTTTTTGCTTTTGTTTAAGAGTTTTCCTTTTGTTGTGCAGATTTTATTTTTATTTTATTACGTCAACGCGTCAATTCATTACCAAAGACACTAGCTCAACAACAAGAACAAGAACAAGAACAAGAACAAGAACAAGAACAAGAACAAGAACAAGAACAAGAACAAGAACAAGAACAAGAACAAGAACAAGAACAAGAACAAGAACAAGAACAAGAACAAGAACAAGAACAAGAACAAGAACAAGAACAAGAACAAGAACAAGAACAAGAACAAGAACAACAACAAGAACAAGAACAAGAACAACAACAAGAACAACAACAAGAACAAGAACAAGAAAAAGACCGCAACCTCAATGCAACCTTCTCCAAATCAACAACAACAACAACAACAACAACAACAACAACAACAACAACATTGCAACTTCGCACTGACCCGCTTTCATTGCCAGAGACACTAGCTCAACAACAACAACAACAACAACAACACGCTCAATCTTCTGTCCTAGAGTTTATGGAGAATACTCATATCGATCGACAATTGTTAAACAAGCAACCAACGTTGATGTATTGACGCTTAAGAAGCCCGATTGGAGTTTACCATAGCTCATGAACCAAGATATCGATCGACAATTGTTCAACAAGCAACCAGCTATGACGCTTTTGCATAAGAAAGCCCGATTGGAGTTTGCCAAGTCCAAAAACTCACAGATCAATCGACAATTGTTCTAGGATTCCTCTAAGATTAGAAAGCAACCAGCAAAAGCAGATTAGAAAGATTTTCTATTATTTCTTCCGATCCGATGGTGTTTGGGACTCGAGACTTTGGCAATGATTCTATGATAGTTTAGCTCGCTTTCTGTTGGGCCGTCTGTTGGGTTTAGGCCGCTTTCTGTGCTGATAGAATGATCGTTAAGATGGTTTGAAATCGGATGAATCGTTTTGAGGGTTGGTCTTGGTCTTGGTCTATATAGATGTCTTGGACTATATAGATGGCTATTGCTGTTTTTGCTTTTAAATTCGAGGAGGAGGAGGAGGAGGAGGAGGAGAAGAAGAAGAAGAAGAAGAAGAAGAAGAAGAAGAAGAAGAAGAAGAAGGAGAACGTCTCAGCGTTGAGCCTCTGCTCTTTAAAACCTCATCACTTCAATGCCAAGCCTTCAATGATATCGATGTTTTCATAGTGCCAGCTTAGAAAGTTCCCCTTCTCCAATAAATTGAAAGTACCTAGTCTTCTTGAATGCTTTAAAGAGATAAGAGAGATATGCCGAGAGTGATGTGTTGCATAATATCTCTCTCTTTCCTTTGTCTTTCCCCCATCACCCATTTCTATTACATCATTGGGGGTCGTCGGCTAAAAAAAAGCGATACTTTACAGTAAGAGCTCTTTGAACAAAAGGAATTGGTTTGGAAAGTTTTAAAATGTAAGTAATACATTGAGATTTGGGCTTTGAAAGGCCTAGCTAGCTAGGTCTAACTAGCTTGTCGGTCTAAATAGCGGTCTAACTGTCGGTCTAGCTTGTCGATTCAAGCTTGGTTTTCATTTTTATAAGTGTAAATACGGCTAGATGATGATTTGACCGTACTGTAACTCACTGGAGCGAATTTTTTTGGTTTTAGAGCATGCATTTACATTTACTAAGCCAGCTAAGGGCAGCCAGCTAAGCCAGCTAAGTCAGCTAAGCCTAAGCCCGAGCCAGCTAGGTCTAAGCCAGCTAAGGCTAAGTCTAAGCCCGAGCCAGCCAGGTCTAAGCCTGAGCCAGCTGAGTCTAAGTCCGAGCCAGCTAGGTCTAAGCCAGCTAAGGCTAAGCCCTATCTAATTTCGAGTCATTAAAGAGTTCTCTGTTCTAAAGAGAGATATGGTAAGGATCCAAGGGATCGTTCAGTAGATACAAGAACCAAATCTAGTTGTAGATCTAGTTGTAGATCTAGTTATAGATCTGGTTGTCGATCTAGTTGTAGATCTAGTTGTTCTAGAGTTGTAGTTTCTGTAAGCTTCAATTCCCTATTCTTACAGTTTCCCATTTAGAAAGATGGATCCCTACATCCCACAACACGCCGATTTACCAAAGATCAAAAGACTTCGATTGGCCATTGAGTACATCAAATTCTTGGAGGATTGCCTAAAAAATGGGGAAGAGAAAGAGGTTGGAGTTTTTCTTTAAAAGTAAATAATGAAATCTGTATTTAAAACTATTCAGCTAACAAATAGGAAGACAATATTTGAAAGAATTAAAGAACTAAAGAATTAAAGAGCTAAAGAATTGAAGAATTGAAGAGCTAAAGAATTAAAGAGCTAAAGAATTAAAGAACTAAAGAATTAAAGAACTAAAGAACTAAAGAATTAAAGAATTGAAGAATTGAAGAGCTAAAGAATTAAAGAATTAAGGAATTAAGGAATTAAAGAACTAAAGGACTAAAGAATTAAAGAATTAAAGCCAAAATTTCAGCCAGAATCAGAGCCAAAGCGTTTGGAGGAGTTCACAAAGACGGCTTTAGTCGAGATACAGGTGGGGAAAGATGGGATAAAAGCTGGGATAAAAGCTGAGATAAAAGCTGAGTACCGTTTCTTTACAATGAATCGATAAAAGCTGGGAAAACTAGTCTAAAAACCAGTTTGATTAAGCAAAGACAGGTCTAGGTCAGGCTTAGGTCCTAGATCCAGAATCAGCTTCACGGTCAGAGTCAACTCCAGCTCTTTCGGCTCCAGCTCTTTCCCTGAAACTTGTCGGAACTTGAAGATAACTGAGAGATAAAGTTATTTGACCTCTCTAACTACCGTTTAATCGTTTAACCATTTAACTTTTATATTTCAAGTTATTCAGGCGAGAAACTCGTACTCGGATCGATTACACGAGGCGACTTTCGAGCGTCCGAGGAAAGCGAGCTCTGTCGGGAAATCCCCAGGTTTAATAGGGAATATATCAAATAATTATAGGAATAAGGAAAATAAAAAGCTAGAGTTTAAACTTGATAAACCTTCGCTTTTTGATGGATTTTGATGGATTTTGATGGATAATTCAAATTGACAGCTTTTTGTTGGCAAGTTAATGTTGGCAGTTTTTTGTTGACAGTTTGTTGTTGGCGATTTGTTGTTGACAGTTCTTTATTGACAATTTGTTTGTTTGTTTGCATTGACAGCTTGTTTGATTTGTTTACATTGACATAATGGTTCTTTAAAGAAGCTAAGTAGCTTTGATTTGGATGGTTTAAGTGTAGAAATCTGTAGAAATTATCTAGAGCTCTCTAGAACTCTCCAGAACTCTTTAGAACTCTCTAGAATCCCTAGAAATCTCTAGAATCTCTAGAGCTCTATAGAACTCTCTAGAACTCTCTAGAGCTCTTTAGAACTCTCTAGAGCTCTCTAGAAATCTCTAGAACTCTCTAGAGCTCTTTAGAACTCTCTAGAACTCTCTAGAAATCTCTAGAACTCTCTAGAGCTCTTTAGAACTCTCTAGAGCTCTCTAGAAATCTCTAGAACTCTCTAGAGCTCTTTAGAACTCTCTAGAACTCTCTAGAAATCTCTAGAACTCTCTAGAGCTCTTTAGAACTCTCTAGAACTCTCTAGAAATCTCTAGAACTCTCTAGAGCTCTTTAGAACTCTCTAGAACTCTCTAGAACTCTCTAGAACTCTCTAGAGCTCTTTAGAACTCTCTAGAGCTCTCTAGAACTCTTTAGAACTCTCTAGAATCCCTAGAAATCTCTAGAATCTCTAGAACTCTCTAGAAATCTCTAGAATTACAGCTTCAAAATCCTATATAATAAATCTTATATAATGATTTCGAATTTCAATCAAAAATCGACCTTTCTTGATCATTTTGATCGTTTAATTTCTTTAGATTCAAATCAATCACCGATTTCTCTTCAATGGACGAACGAAATCCCGCTCACAAAGGAAACATTCGACCAAACACAAGGGAAAGGTTTGTTTTAAAGGCTTAAACGGTTGTCTAGTATCAGAGGGAGACGATAGAATCCTGCTCAATAGCCTACCGCTTTCAATAGCCTACTGATTTCAATAGCCTTTCAATAGCCTACCGATTTCTCCGTTATTTTAAAACTTTTCCAAGCATTTCTCTAACTTTTTCCCTTATCTGGAATGCACACAATCTTTTGAATATAAAATCTTTTTGTTAGCTTGAATTTAAAATTTTTCTCTTTTTCGACTTTTTGCCATTGGAAATCTATGAGTTTTACTCGTTTCTTAACCAAAAAAAAAACATGAAATATGCTTTTAATGACTCGAAATGAAATTTTCTATGAAATAAAAGCAAATTCAACGTTTTTTGAAACAAATTCAGCTATTCAGCCAATGGCAAAAAGTCAAAAAAAAAGAAAAATTTTAACTTCAAGCTAACAAAAAGATTTTATATTCAAAAGATTGTGTGCATTCCAGATAAGAGAAAAAGTTAGAGAAATGTTTGGAAAAGTTATAAAATAACGGAGAAATCGGCCTAGACCATGCCATGCTATGCCATGCCATACCATGCCATGCCATCCCCATGCCAATGGCAAAGCAATCGAAAAGAAAAGGGGCTGGGTTTAATTGAGTGACTTGTCTACTTCCAAAAATCGACTTTAAATCGAGATTTCTCTCAATCTCTCTCAATTCCTTTCATTTCAGTTCAAAATCTTGATGCTTTCCATCGTTTTTGTCCTCGATCCAATCCCTCATCCACCTCATCACTCGATTTTCTGCCTCACCAAGATTCTCGAATCGATTTGCCCGCTTTCTCTCTAGATTTCCCGTTTCCGAGTGAAGCACAGGTAAAAACTATTGTATTTCTTTTAATTGAATCAAATGGGGATCGATGAATGAATGCCCAATTGGCATGAATCAATGCTCAATCCAGTTTGGGATTGGGAGAGAGAGGAGCTGATTGCAGAGAGGAGCTTCTTAGGTACTTGCAGAGAGGAGCTTCTATTAAATACTTGTACTAAGTACGTACTAGTATGCATTGTACTAAGTACGTACTAGTATTTACTAAGTACTAAGTACTTGCAAAAGGCTATAACCAACATTTAAACAACTCAAAAATCAATTAGAAAAGATGAATAAGAACCTTATTCCAAAAGATATTCACCATTAAACTCTTTGATTTTTGTGTGGACTTCGAATGCTTGTTCGAGGATTCGAATCCCGAAGAAATTCGGGATCCTGCCTTGCCAAATTATACCAAATACCAAATTTTGACTTCTTCTGGATTGTTAAAATGTTCTGGATTGAAACTTTTGATTTGCATAGAGAGTGTTGCATAGACAAGTGCTAATCGAAGGAAGCAATTTCAAGAGAATAGAGCAAATGAGGCCGAAGTTTCTAGCCTAACTCTTCTATCGTGTTTTGAGCCAAGTTTGATATTTGTACCCCAAAATGGGTTTCTTTTGAAGAAAGTGCTCAGAACTGTGACATCTCCAGTCCTCCATGACAATAGCCGGCAGTTTTCAATTCACCAAACCAATAGATTGATTTTTGCCTCATCGGTAAATAACATAAACAACATTTTCGACGTGTTGCCCAACTTCGTTAGGTCCTGCTTCCAGTGCTTAAAGTTCGTGACATAGCTCCCAAAGAAAAACAGTCAGATAACAAAAGACTAAAAAGGCTCTCACCTCAACACATTATGTTTCCGTCGTTGAATTTTACTGAAGGCCGAATGTACTTGAGTGTGTATCGCTTTCTAGTCGGTCGCCGAATGAGATGATTTCCGTCCGCGTGAAATAAATTGATTTTTGCCTCATCGGTAAATAACATAACTAACATTTTCGACCAATCACGTGTTGCCCAACTTCGGTAGGTCCGGGGTAAGTCCTGCTTCCAGTGCTTAGAGTTCATCAGAGGTTTACGGGCAGCCCTTGCATATAATCCAGCTTGATTTAATCGTCGTCTGATCGTTTCCGGCGAAACAACAAGTCCAGGCCATCGGTCAGACTGTTTTGGCCAAGGGAGAGGGAAGGGGGTTATGTAAAAGCCCTGCGCCAGATGACGAGCGATTACGCGGCCGGAAAAAGAACACACAGAACACACAAATTTTAAGCGGAACTACTAAGTTTCTTTTTGTTAAGTTAAGTGTATCTTTTTGGAAATTTGGATATAAGCTTCACTTTTGATTCTCTACAACTCTTCCATTGACACCAGAATGGGTTTCTTTTGAAGAAAGTGCTCAAATTGTCACCTATGACAATAGTCGGCGGTTTTCAATTCATCAATCCAATAGTTCTAGCGCGAAATCGCTTACACTTTGATTGCTTACACTTTTCAATGCATTCATCCAATATAAAATTACAAAGAAATACGGTATAAAGAAAAGATTTAATGCTTAAAATAACTGATTATAACATGAGAAATTCAAAATAAAGTTCTTTAATGTTCTCTAAAGTTCTCTAAAGTTCTCTAAAGCTTTCTAAAGCTTTCTAAGGCTCTCTAAAGCTCTCTAAAGTTCTCTAAAGTTCTCCATAGTTCTCCATAGTTCTCTATAGTTCTCTAAAGTTCTCCATAGTTCTCTATAGCTCTCTAAAGTTCTCTAAAGTTCTCTAAAGTTCTCTAAAGTTCTCTAAAGTTCTCTAAAGTTCTTAAAACAAAGCTTTAATGATTGTTTCAGTTCGATCGATGCTCGAATGTTGAAATGAAAGCGCTGACACTTCCACTTCCACCGCTCTCGCTTGATAATCACTTTGGATTTTGATTGAATATCTTTAGACTATCTTTAGACTATCTTATATCTAATAAAAGACAGCTCAACTGGTTTTCTCATTTATTTATTTTTTTATTTCAATCAAAACTTGTCTCCGGTCGCTGGTTCGACCCAAGTCCCTAAAAAAAAATTTCTTTCCTTTCAAATCCATTTTTTCTCTTTTTACCTTTGGTTGTGCGTTCCAATTTGTCAATTTTCACTTTTAAAAACCCCTTTTTTCTCATTCAGCAGTGCCTTTTCACTCTTGCCATTGTACAGCCATTTATTTTCTATTGATTCGAATAAAAGTCACACAAAAAAGAGATCAAGAAGGGGAAATTTTGAAATAAACGTTGATAGATGTTGACAGATGTTGATAGATTTTAAAAAGAATATCAAAAACGAATAAAATTCAGAATAAAAAATTGGGCTCGTAAAGAAAGAAACCCGTCAAAAAAAATGAAAAAATAGCAAAAAAAGCAAAAAAAATCAAAAAAAGCACCGAAAAATCGAAAATTTCAATATTTGACTAAAATTAGATACTTAGATTAGAAATCTTTTCTAAAAAGTGGCTTGGCTATCGTAACCGAACACTGTTTACAAGTCATTTTTGCGCTTTGAAAAATTTTTGACTGAGACCGGAATCGAACCCGAGCCAAGTAGTGGGTGTCCGCCTGGAAACGTCGATTTCCCCGCTGCGCCATGCCATCCAGATCTCAAATTCAATTTTTAAATAGCAGAAAATTTGAGCTGTGTTCCAGATTAGAAAACGCTAAAATCTTGAGATCGCTAGCTGCCTAGAAACTTGTTTTTTAGAGGTGAAGTTGACTTCAACCCGATTTCTCCGTCATTTTTAAACCTTTCTCAAATATTATAGTATATTTCACTGAGCTGGAACGCACATGAGATTTTGGATAACAAAATCGAAATGATTACCTTACAGAAACTGATGTGTCAGAGCCGAGCGGACTTCAGCCCGATTTCTCAGTCATTTTTAAATTTTTCTCAAATCTTACCGACTATTTCACTGTTCTGGACGGCACATGAGTCAATTTTCCATTTAATTTCTGTCATTTTTGCGCTTTGAAAACTTTTCGACCCAGGCCGGACTCGAACCCGAGCCAAGCAGGAGGCGTTCGCCTGGGAACCTCGGTTCCCCCACTGCGCCATCTCGTCTATATTCTGAATTTGATTTTTAAATAGCAGAATATTTGAGCTGACTTCCAGATTAGAAACTCTCAAAATCTTGAGATCGCTAGCTGCTTAGAAACTTGTTTTTTCGAGGTGAAAAGAGAGTTTTGGCTTCTTTGGTGGGATTACGATCACTTTTCCAAGAGCACTTTTTAGAAAAACTCTATCAAAAGCAGACTACGGTAAAACCAAATGACAGAGATCACACATATTTGGGCACTCTCTCAACATGGCTGATTGAGATGTCCGACAAATGTCTGGGTTTTGTGATCGCCAGTGAAGGCAACTCTGCGATTCGTCTGAGCATTTCCCTTTTAGAGAGATTCGGCGCTGCTCAGCTTTCTCGAGAGCTTCTGGAAATTGCATTTGAATGGATTTGAATTTAGAGATTGACAACAAGTTGTTAGTGTTGAAATAAGAGTAAAGCTTTACAAATGAGATTGGTTAGAGAAGGGTTGGTTAGAGAGTTGAGGTGGGGTTTTGTACCAGTTACAGTGAGAAATCCAACCAGTTACAGTCACTAATCAATCGTATTAGGTAACGGGAAATAACCGCGTTTTTCTCAACTTCAATCATCAAAAAGTTTTTCATTCAAAACACTATCAAAATAATATTCATTGCAATCAATGCAGCAGAATGCAGCCATCAATGCAGCCTTTTCAATTGACCTTGTTCAAAACCTGTAACTTTGAGTGCATCTTCTGCATCTGGTCCTGTCATTTGACTCATCTAGGCTGGGCCTGACCCTAGTGTTGCCTAGGCTGGGCTTGGCCCTGGTGTTGCCTGGGCTGGGCTTGGCCCTGGTGTTGCCTGGGCTGGGCTTGGCCCTGGTGTTGCCTGGGCTGTCCTGGCCCTTGTTGCCTGGGTTGTCTTGGCCCTGGTGTTGCCTGGACTGGGCCTGAGCCTGTCAAAATCTATTTGGTTCTGATTTGGCTCTGATTAGGTTTCGATTTGGTTCCGATTAGGTTCCGATTTGGTTTAGATTAGGTTCTCATTAGGTTCCCATACGTTTCCATTGCATTTGTTGCATGTAGACCTTCGAGCAATGCTTTGGCCGCTTTCCACGGTGAGTGGAAATGTTTTGGAAAAGAAGTCGGAGTTTCTTTATCCAATCATTCCGAATTTTGCTTCCGATTGTCGTAAAGGATCCATTTTTCGTCTCACGTTATCGCAAGTCAAGCACCCAGAAAACGCATTTATATTCCATAGTATCTAATAGAATTTGCCCAGTACTTGAGCCAAGCTTAACCCAAAAAAAGACACAAAGACAGTCAATCGAGAGCAAGGGTTGGCGAGTCAAGAACCTGGCATCTTTGTGCTGATTCGATCTAGCTTAGTTATTGTAGTTGGAGTATGGGAAATGAACAAAAGAACAAAATTTGGAGCTTGGCTTTGGCCTTACAGAAGTAGCTTTGGCCTTACAGAAGTAGCTAAAGAAGGGCTAGCTAAGAAACTGCTCAAATTTAGCATCGATGGGGGCCCGCTGGAGTCGAACCAGCTCCCCTGCGCCTAGAAAATCTATGCTTTACCCACAGCGCCATCAAAAATGTTGCCCATTTTCAGATACTAATAATTGCTAAATATTCTGTGCGTTCCAGGATTTATGAATAGCATTTTCTTTATCTTTAATTTTCTCTATTTCAGCTTATTTTTTGGTGTTCTCAGTTCGTGCGATTTTAAGAGAAACGAAAAAGAATTGAGTGAAACTAAAACGTTTTTCATTCAAGCTGGATGTCACAGAATCTATCTAAACCGTTTTTTCAAAAAAAAGCCAAAACTTTTGACGGTGACCGGACTCGAACCAGCGACCCTCCGCCTGGAAAATCTTTGCTTTACCCAGTGCGCCATCAAAAAGGTTGCCAATTTTAAGGTGCTAATAATTGCTAAATATTCTGTGCGTTCCAGGATTTATGAATAGCATTTTCTTTATCTTTAATTTTCTCTTTTTCAGCTTATTTTTCGTCCATTCTCAGTTCACGCAATTTTAAGAGAAACAAAAGGAAATCGAATGAAACTAAAAAGTTTTTCATTCAAGCTGGATGTCACAGAATCTATCTAAACCGTTTTTTACAGAAAGCTAAAACTTTTGGCGGTGACCGGAGTCGAACCAGCGACCGTCCGCCTCGAAAATCAAGGCTTTCCCACTGCACCATCGAGAATGTTATCTATTTTCAGGAACTAATAATTGCTAACTGTTCAGTGACATCCAGGACTGATGAAAAGCTTTTTATTTCGCCTTAATTTTCTCTCTTTCGGCTTATTTTTCGGTGATCTCAGTTCACGCAATTTTAAGAGAAACAAAAAAGAATTGAGGGAAACTGAAACGTCTTTCATTCAAGCTGGATGTCACAGAATCTATCTAGTCTTTTAGTTCTCTAAAATAAGCAAAAGGGCCGAGTGGCTTTTGTGGCCTAGTGGCTAGTGCGCTTGGCTGTAAATCTGAGGGGTGCTGGTTCGAATCCGCTCACTGCCAAAACTTTTTTTTAAGGTACAAAAACAAATTTTTTGGTATTTAGTACTAGTTTTAGCACGTTTCTGACTACCATTCTTGAATTAAAGCTTTGTGTTAGTGAATCTCTGCTTCTTACTGTAGCTTCTTATAGGTTTCTTCTTTTCGCGTTAAATCTTCTTCTTCCTCTTCTCCCAAATGTCCTTGTTCTACCAGCATTCACTCTTTGACGGAAAACACGAGCTGTAGCAAAGAAAAATCAATGAAAAAAGTTAGATTTCAAAAGAATTCCATACAAAAAATGTTAAAATCGTAAAAATTTGATAATTTGATAATTCCTTTTCAAAAGACTCACCAATCTTTGTCCTGTACTCCAGAATGATCTGATCAATGACAACTTTCACTCCAGCCCACGTCTCTTTAGCAGTCGGGATGAGTTGACGTTTATCCAACACGAAACCATTCCATTCTATAATTCCTTCAAAAGAATCGAGAGATCATGAGGATTTAGATGCAAGAGAAGCTGCTTAGAGCTGCCTGATTAGGCTTAGGCTTAGGCTAGGCTTAGGCTAGGCTTAGGCTAGGCTTAGGCTAGGCTTAGGCTAGGCTTAGGCTAGGCTTAGGCTAGGCTTAGGCTAGGCTTAGGCTAGGCTAGGCTTAGGCTAGGCTTAGGCCAGGCTTGGGCTGGGCTTGGGCTGGGCTTAGGCCTGGGCCCAGGCTTAGGCCAGGCTTAGGCTAGGCTTGGGCCAGGCTTAGGCTGGGCTTAGGGCTTAGGCCAGGCTTTGGCTTAGGCTAGGCTTAGGCTGGGCTTAGGCCGGGCTAGGCTGGCTTGGCTGGGCTTAGGCTGGCTTGGGCTAGGCTAGGCTGGGGCTTAGGCTAGGCTTAGGCGGGCTTAGGCTAGGCTGGGCTTAGGCTAGGCTTAGGCTAGGCTTAGGCTAGGCTTAGGCTAGGCTTAGGCTAGGCTTAGGCTTAGATTAGATCTAAAAGAAGCCTAGGCCTGGTAGCTATGGCATTCATTAATCAGCTAAAGAGCAAAAGAAGCGGACTTATGAGAGATTAGTTAGAGTTTTTAACACTCTTTCACCCACCTTCATATGTCGGTCGTAACTCCAAAGTGTACGAGTATTTTACGCGCAACTTTTCTGTCGCCCAATCTGTCGAACCACCCGAGAAGGCGTCTAGAAAGTGGATGGGTAAAGGAATTTCTGATTAGTTGGCTAGATTGGTTTCTAAAGTACGCTGTGACATCCAGAATGAGCAAAACCGTTGAAATTTTGACGCTTTTTACGAGCGAGTACAAAGAACACCTCTGGACAAAGACTGGCTATTACAGTAGTAAAAAACTAAGTCAAGGCACCATAAATTGGAC